TAGAGGGCCTTTTTTATGGTGGCCCCCCAGCTTTGGAATGTCCTCTCTAGGGAGATTAGGCAGGCCCCCACACTGTCCTCCTTCCGGAAGGAATTGAAAACTTGGATGTTTGGACAAGCCTTTGAGAATGTCTAGTCCCAATGGTTCGCAATTAATGCCACAGCACTGCACTTTCGCCTCATGCCCTAGTTCATTAGCTAAAATTTGCACTATCCTACTCCCTGCTCCTATTTGCAGTTGGCTATGTTTTACAACAGTTCTCATCATAGGTTACTGGGCGCTGTTTTGAGCTTAAACTCTGTTTTATATGCTATTGGTTTTATCTTGTATTATATTGTGTGTTGATTTTATGCATTGTTTTAGGCACATTGTGCCATATGTAAGCTGCCCCAAGTCCCTTCGGGGAGATGGAGGTGGGATACAATAATAATAATAATAATAATAATAATAATAATAATACATTTTATTTTTAACACACTATATTCCCAAAGGGGCCGCAGTGGCACAGCGTGTTAAACTGCTAAGCTGTAGAACTTGCTGACTGAAAGGTCAGCAGTTTGGATCCGGGGAGTGGGGTTAGATCCTTTGTTAGCCCCAGCTTCTGCCAACCTAGCAGTTCAAAAACATGCAAATCTGAATAGACCAATAGGTGCCGCTTCAATGGAAAGGTAACGGTGCTCCATGCAGTTATGCCACCCACATGACCTAGAAGATGTATACAGACAACGCCAGCTCTTCGGCTTAGAAATTGAGATGAGCACCACCCCCAGAGTCAGACTCGACTAGACTTAATGTCAAAGAAAAACCTTTTACAGTCCCAAAACAACACTTCTTTTATCTGCTCTGCTGGTGTTTTGCTTGCAGAAATTTCATTTGGCATTAACTTATTCCCGTTGCAAATACTATGAAGTTTGTTTATTTGTTTGTTTGGTGCATGCTTGTTGGGTTTGGTTCCCCCTCCCGCATTTCTGTGGCCATTTATCTCTATGTTCAAATAAAATAATCCAAGGACAGCTCTAATCCTGTCTCATTCAAGTAATTCATAGATCATCAACTTTATTAAGTGCTTGAATGAATAGCTTCATGGGAGAATTCTTGAGCCAAAACACAAATTCCACTTTGACATTTGATAAGCAACACTGAAAGGCTGAAACAATTTTAGAAATGCAAGCTTTCTGGTGCTAGGAAGTAGTACCAGCTTTTTACATTTGATATAATTTTTGAATTACCATTTTTGAAATTACCATACAATTACCATCTTAAAACATCTGTGTATTGTGTCTTATCTTGTTTATTCCCAAAACAGAAAAAAATATGTCTATTACCCTTTCCATACAAATAAAATGTTCACCGCCATTACAGATGTTAAAATAGTGGACTTTCATTAGCAGAAAGAATGACCTCTATGTCTTTTTTAAAAAGACATAATATAAATAATATAAATATTCTACAGCATGGACAAAAGATTATTTTTCATTAGCAATGACGATCACAAGTAGGCTTTTCCTGCACCTGTGTCTTTTCCTGTAAGTAAGGAAATACCAGCATTTGAAAAAAAATCTGTGCAAATAATTTTGGGAGAATTTGCAAAACATAGCAAAGACATGCAGTTTTCACTACAGCCCATGCAGAATCCTTTAATATGTAGCTCAGTTGTTCTTAAAAGAACAATACCCACTTTTGTTTCAGAAAGGACAATATTTCAATCAAATTAATATATAACTAGCGGTATATTTATGTTTTATATACTGTGCAGCTTATCCAACACCTCTCCTGACCTACTTGATCCTACCTGATTCTAGGATTGTTTTTAGACTATGTTCAAGACCCTTTTTTAAAAAAAATGTGTTTTAAAAATATTTTTAACTTTGTACTGTTTCTTTAGGTTTTTATTTGTTCATTATCTCGGGAGTGTATATGGGCTGGGAGGCTATAAAATATTATTAAATAAATAAATAAACTCTATAAAAATTAAAATTAATCATAGACCATCCCAATTATATTAAGAGGGCATATGCAGCTGAATGCTACCTTGACAACAGCAAATGGCTTTACAGCACAAAAAGAAAATACAGAAATAATTGTTTTACAGGTTTCGCATGAATACCATGGAAACAGCTATAAAGATCACTGTAAAAGCAACTCAACAATAATCTGTCAGGAAGACAACCAGCTCCAGCAGCATAAATCACCAATGAAAGGATACACTACCTGTTTGCTGATATATAATCATACATTGCAGTAAATTGATTTTCAGTCAAAGAAGACTGGGCCCTAATACCAGTAAAATATCTTGTGTAAACTAACAAAAACCCAGCCAACTTCACCTTTTAAAATAAGTTTCAGAATTTATTTCCAAAAATCAGTTTTAATTTGCAAATACATAAATATAATCTCCCCCCCCCCCCCCCCGTATAAATTAATGGACAACAGCTGTGGTTGTTTGGCAAGGGGGTGCCATGCTTTCTCATGACTTAATACTACAGTCTTAGAGCATTTCTATGATCCAATGCAACTATCTACTGCATGAGACGGGGCTTTTTCTGGCAGCATACACTGGTTAAGGCCTAGATCATCCACAGAGCCTGCCAGATACAATTAAACGATGCATATGACCTTCTGGTGGGGCTCTGCGAATGATCTAGGGTGGAACCGGCACATGCTCCCACTGCGGCAACATGGTAGGCTTCCTGTTTTGCCTAGGAAGCAATGGGGGGAAACCGCACCGTTGATGTTCCCCACCATGGGATCAGCTTCCTCATGAGCTGGACAAGGCATGGGGTGATGGGTTCCCCATGCCCCCCCCCCTCAGCAAGGGTCGCCGGATTTGACTGACCACATTACCTTGTACAAACTTACCTGGGTCCTGAGTTCTTCAGGAGAAGCCCTTCTCTCGGTCCCACCTCCATCTCAAGCACAGTTCGTGGGAACAAGAGAGTGGATCTTTTTGGTGACTGCCCCTCAACTCTGGAACCCCCTGCCCAGGGAAACCAGAATGGCCCCTTCCCTGCTGTCCGTCCGACAGCAGGCTAAAACCTTTTTATTCAGGCAGGCTTTTAAAGATGAAGATTTTTAAGATCTAGTCAGGGAGTGCTGTGGTTTTATATGCTTTTATGGTTTTATTAATATTGTTTAAGCCACTTTGAGTCTCCCTTCTGGTGGGACTCTGTGAATGATCTAGGATGGAACCAGCACATGCCACTGCCACGTGGAAGGCTCCCCGTTTTGCCTAGCAAGCAATGGGGAGAAGCTGCATGCTTGATGCTTGTCACAATGCCAAGGCTCTGCCATTATTCTGGCAGAGCTGAACCAAACAAACTCTCAGTTTTGCTAAACAATTTAATTAAAGCAGTACTTGCTGTCTGGCTGTTTTAATAGTCCAAAACATAAAACATAAAGATAGCATTCAGCCACAGAATATAAAATAAAACTGGCAGCAAACACTGTTGCAGGTTCAAGATAACACCGTAGTCAGAAGGTCCAGTCCAGTGGTCAAACACTGAGAGTTCAATGAGCAAAGTCCAGGGATCAAGAGTCTATACCGTAGTCAAAAGCCAGTCCAGAGATTCAAGGTTTCAAGGTTCCAAGAGTACAAGAGACAGGTCAGGATACTGAAAATCCACAAGCCTGGGGGGAAACCAGCAGCATCTACCATCAAAATAAGACAAATGCTTTTCTCCCACAGATCAATCCAAAGGCTAGCTTCTTATATCCAAAAACACCCAGCTGCAACCTATCTCTTGCATGTCTCCACCCTTAATTACTTTCACCCATTAACTCTTACTTACAGATTATTCAACCCTTTAAAACTAAGGCTTACATTAACCCTTCCATCACCAACTGCTAGGCCTGCCACCACCAACCACCATCAATTGCAGAACATGAACATGGCAATGCTTCCCCCACCCCATCAGTTTCCCCATGAGCCGGGCAATGCGGGACATGGGGCAATGGGTTCCCATGCCCACCCACTCCAATGAGGGTTGCCGGATTTGGCTGACCACATCCCCTTGTACGAGCTTGCCTGGGCCCTGAGATCTTCAGGAGAAACCCTTCTCTTGCTCCCACCTCCATCTCAAGCACGGTTCGTGGGAATGAGAGAGTGGGCTTTCTCAGTGGCTGCCCCTCAACTCTGGAACCACTGCCCAGGGAAGCCAGAATGGTCCCCTCCCTGCTGTCCTTCTGATGGCTGGCTAAAACCTTTTTATTCAGGCAGGCTTTTAAAGATAACTATGTTTAAGATGTAGTTCGAGGGGTGCTGTGGTTTTATATGCTATTGTGGTTTTTAATTGAAAAGTTTTTAATATTAATGATGTTTAATACTGTTATAATATTTGTATTTTTATATTCGAGGTTTACTGTGATGCTTTTAATTGTGAGCTGCTTTGAGTCTCCATATGGAGAGAAAAAGTGGTATATAATAATAATAATAATAATAATAATAATAATAATAATAATAATAATATCGTTCTGTTTCATGTATTTCTTTCATTTGAAAATATTTAGAACAATATTTCTGCAAGAAAAAAAACCCTAAGGGAAAAGTATAATGCTGAAGATTTGGAAGTGTTTTGGTATGAGTCTATCAAGAGTAGTAAGTTCCCTGCATAAAGGACCTCATGTATCTCAAATAAGATCCTTTGACCAACAAACCATACCATCTCACTTATCTGACAAATGATTCTATATGTAGCTATAAGAGATGGCCAATGAAAGTTAGCAGGCAATTATCCACATTTTCACATGACATGAAAGAAATGCCAAAGAAAATCATTTTATCAACTTTGATTCTATTGCAGGTGTGTAAGTGTCCTACCCATGTCATACACAAGCCTGAATACAGAAAACAATTATCCCATTGTAAATACACAACGAGCCAAGCTTATCCAAGATTAACTGTATAATTGAACAGCAATTTGAAAATTTATTATATGAGAAATGGATTGTTGCCACAATTTTCTTCATCAACACAGTATTAACTGGGGTATTTACTAACTTACCATTTAGGCCTGCTTGTGGATTTTACCATTGGAGCCATTCCATCCCGATACAAGCTTTTGGTTTTACTAAAGTTGACAATGTTGAAAATGACTCTCTGAAAGACACAGAGGGTATGGGGAATTAGAAAATGTCAGTGAAATGTGTTCAACATAGACACTAATGCTAAATTTGTATCACTGAATTTTAAAGCATCAATATTCAAGCAATAGTCATCTCCCCCCCCCCCAATCTTTCTGAAAAGAAGAAATGATGACGTACAAAGACTTGTGTTTATTCTTTGAAAAAATCCAAATTCCAAATTGATTTAGATCAAGTCTGAACTAGGTGAAATCAACTGTTTTCTATATTCAGAGTGAATCCAACTGGTTCCATGTGACTCTAATCAATTCGGACCTAAGAGAAGGGGTTGTACAGTGTATCTAAGAGTATGATATATGGAGAACACTGTGGTGACATGATGAAGAGGGGAGCTCAAATTTGCTTGGTGACAGCAATTTCAAATCAATGAATCTCAGCAACATTCTTCAGTCTAAGCGCTGGCAGGAAAGGGATGCTTTTATGAAAATCTGTGCACATTTGTTAGACTAAGATTGTAGCAGTGAATTTCAGCCTATCTACCTGAGCAATGAACATACCTGCGGATAGTTTATTTTTTTAATATTGTTAGCCACTTTGGAACCCTTTTTAGAGACAAAACGTGGAATATAATACATGTGAGGAGGAGGAGAAAGAGCAGTTCAATTGAGGCTCAAGTCAAATGACTCTCTGACTAAACTGAGGGGAGGGGGTAGGTATTCCATATACCCTGACATACGCATTCAGTATTGCAGCAGCATCTCTGCAATACAGTAAAGTGTTATGACTAAAGATCACATTGTGAATGTGTACATGAAGCTTTGGAGTTCCCAAGTTTGCTTCTAGAATAACTCCAGTCACACATAATGGTACATTTCTGCCTCATTCTGCATCTGAAGGCTGCTGGACGCATTGTACTAGTAGCAATTCCAGTGGGAAAGTAAAGAGAACTGTAGGTAAAAGAACAAGAGGACTCTGAATAACACTACTCAATGTCCTCTTGTATGTTCTTACTTATATGAAATAAAATAACAAAGAGAACTCATGGCTTCATGTACTGAGTCCACAATAAAACAACACTGTGGGTGAAGCTAATGCTTGCTCCCTAATTTGAGGCTTCACTGACTATGGCAAAAAATTCACACTTCAAATTAAACGTAGACGTGCTATTGGAAACATACTGTATTTCACTGATTCTAAGATGCACTTCTACAATTTGAGGCTCAAGGGGGGTGCATTCTCGAATCACCGTAATCCAAGATCCGCACTTGTTTTTTTAAAATATAACTTTATTAAGATTTTGCATACAAATATTTAAAAAGAAAGACGGGAAAAGGGAAAGGATTGAAACAGGTGTGGGTATGAGAGTGGGGTGGAAAGGGTGGGGAGGGGGAGGGGAGAGAGAAAAAGAGAGATTACGGAAATAATTAGGGAGAAAGACAGGGGAAGGGGGGGGGGGGAAAGTGTTGACTTTCACATTCATCTTCCCTGCATCTTGATCATGCTTCTTTGCATCATTAAGAATGTTTGCATTTTGTCACGTCCCTTTTGGATCTTCTTTACTCTGGAACCTATTTTTCCTGTTTAAGCCATATTCCTCCTTAAAGTTTAAGATAACTGAACTCTGTTGTGCTTTCATGTAGTCCTTAAACAATGCCCGGTCTGTGGGCTCCATCAGTCTTCCCCCTGAAGTTTTTAGATAGTCTATGTATCCATATCCATTATTTCTCATACTTTGTTCTGCCATTCTTCTTTTGTTGCCATTTTTTTTGGATTTCAATTTCCTTGAGTATACAATCCTAGCAGCTGTGGTTAGGTAGGCAAAATTATGTCTTGTTTTTTAAAGAGGATCAGGACTGGCAGCAGTGACTGAGAGTGGGAGGGCAGCCAGTGAGGAGCAAGCGAGGAGCCATTAAGCTTCATCCAGATATCTCAGCTGGTTTTCCCTTTCCTTCACTAACTTACTCCCAATCTCTGCTGTTTCCCCATTTCATTCCAATGCTTTGCTCCCAATCTCTATGGAGTCTGTAGTTTCTTCGAGGAAAATAGGGGTTTTCTTTCTAAAATTGAAGCTACAAAAAGGATTCTCAGCCAGACCAAACGTTTCTCAGTTTTCAACAAAGATCTGTATACTTAAATTGTCCTCTCAGATATCTTCCTAAACCAAACCAAGCACGAATCTCTGTGCTGACACCTTACAATCTCGTCATATATACTTTCAAAACCTGAAAGAAAGCTTCTGTGAAAAGACAGAGACTCTCCATTCAAAGAAAGTAATTCACTATTTTTCTAAGAAAGACAGATTTATACTTTACTTCTACCATTAGCTTTATACTAAATTACTGCTGTTCATATCAGGTATGATAATAGTAGACTTGCACCTAACATTCATACAGAGAGATATATCACCAAAACTATGAATGTGGTGATTTAAATTATGCATTGAATTTATTTTCCCATTTTTTTCAATTTGCTGTATTGTAGTTGGATTTTTATTGGATAAGATATTGCTATCATGCCATTACTATGTGCTTCTGTTATTTACTTTCCCCAATATAAGACAGTTTGTAAAAGCAAGTTTCAACACGTAAAATAAGAGCATTTGGGTGGTTGGCAATGTGGAGGAGGCTGTTTGCTGTTTAATTTAACTTATATTTGAGAAAGCACATTATGTTACAGCAAATTGGTTAGTTAATCCTGATGTTCTCAATAAAGAAGCGAAGCAAACAGCATCTCCACACAAGTGCCTTTATTTTTTGGATGCAATTTTGCTGAGGCTGGAACTTGGGAAGTTGCTAATTCTGCTAAGTGTGAAGTGGCTAACAAAAGACAGCTGGCAGAAACCGAGAATGGTCTCCTCCCAATCAAGTGTTTCCCCCTCTACCAATAAATTGGCTAAATGCAACCAAGCAAGAAAAGCAGGGTATTTATATATATTTAAAATAGTAAAACAGGCAATTTGAAAGACTTGCTTTCACTACAGAGTCAGCAAGGTTCTGGAGTCCTTTAAGTCTGTCAACTGAAATCCTTTCTCCAGCAGTCATTAACTTTCTCAAACCATACCATTGGATTTAATGGAGCACTAAAACATGGCACTATGGAATATTCTTAGTGGAAGTTAAAATTTGAAATGTAGTCTGCCCAATGAAGTGTGTAAGGATGTAATATAACTTTGGTACACACCTTAACCAGAAAAATATATAGCTTGGTCACTAAAGTATGCAAACATTTCTTCCTGTAAGTGATGTAATAAAACTCTGTGATACAGTAAGCAAACATTTGCTGAACAAGTAAATAAATAATAGGGAGGGGGGAATTGCATATGCCACTTTTTATTATGGTAATTTCAAAGCTGCTAATGGCTTTACTGAAGTGTCCTTAATGTTATTATATTTTAATTGATTTTGTGATAAATGACGGCATTCTATGATTAATAAATGCAACAATCTTTGGTATCTCTGGTGATATATAAAATTCCTAGAAACAGCAATATACAAATCAAGTCAGAACTAAATACTGTACTTAGCCTCAGACAGAGAAGCTATTTATGATGTGTCCCTTTAAACTGTTTCCAGGTTTTGGCAAGCCTAACATGAAGGCATTACAGGGTTTTCTTGACAAGTTTTATTTGGAGGGGTTTTGCCATTGTCTTCCTTTGAGGCTGAGAGAGTGTACCCAAGATCATCTAGAACTGTTCACTTCACTGGCGATAACCTTGCATGACTGAAACCTGGGATGAACCAAGGGTAAAAGTATGATAGCTTGGACCCAACACTGGTTACCCTGGTTGCGCAACTTGGGTCTGAATTAATGAGGGAAACACATTTTATTTATTTATTTATTTATTTCATTTACTTATACCCCGCCCTTCTCACCCCGGGGGGGACTCAGGGCGGCTTACAGTGGGGGCACAATTAGATGCCCAAAGCAATTCACAAGCAATACAAATACAAACAATTCAACAATTAATTAAAAACATCAGTACATAATAAAATAATAAAACAGTCTCATGCTCAGGGTTCAGAGTCCATATATCCATTCCATTCCATTTGTCCATGCGAGAGACAGCCTATTGTTCACCAGAAAGGGGGAGAGGAAACATTTCTATCCTGCTTACCATCTTTTTTTTTTTATAATATTTTTATTGTGCATTTTCTTTATTACATAATACAGTAAAAAAAAGTGTACAGAAATCAATTTGAGTGCATCCCCCTACCGTCACCACCCTCCCTTCCCCCGTGCTGTGACTTCCCATCATCTTCAAAGAGTTTAGTATTATAACTGGTGTTATATTTACAGTTCTGTCACTACCGGCGTTTCTTCGGTACTTGAGGTTCCTTCAAATGCTGGATATATCTATTAAAAGTGTCATCTTCCTTTTGGCTATAATAAAGTCTTTAAATCCCTCCCAATTTGTCTTTTTTGATGAATTATTTAGGCGTTGTGATAAGCTGTCTATTTGTATTATGTCAAATATTTTTAAGATCCAATCTTCTGTTGTTGGGATGTCCTTTTGTTTCCATAATCTGGCTAGAGTTATTCTAGCAGCTGTACTTAAGAGAAAGAATATCCTCTCTTGATTCGCATTAAATTTTGAATAAGAGATGCCAAGAAGGTACATTTCAGGTGATGATGGAAAGTTGACTTTTAGGATTTTTTGTGTTGCTAAATGTATTTCTCTCCAGTATGTTTTAATTTTCTTGCAAGTCCACCATTGGTGGAAGTACGTTCCTATTTCTTTTTGACATTTCCAACATTTATTCGAGAAGGATCGGTTAAATTTGGAGATTTTTTCCGGGTAATAGTGCCACCTATAAAACATTTTATACCAGTTTTCAATCAAATCGGTGGCGACTGTATATTTAAGCTTCCTGTTCCAAATCTCTTCCCATTGTTTCAAAAGAATACTGTGTCCAATGTCTTTTGCCCATTTTATCTGGCATTCTTTAATTTGCTCATCCTCCGTTTCCCAACCTAGAAGTTGTTTGTATAGTAGTTTAATTAAGTTCTTTTCTTTTT